CTCATGGGATCCCAAAGTCAGATCAGGTTAGAGCAAGGAGGAACTGGACCCTTGAGGGACATGCTCGAGGTGTTGATGGTTCCTGAAGTCTCCGATTTTGCCATAACAATACAAAGACGGTCACGTTTTGACAGGCTGGAATAGTTCTATCATCTGAATATTTTAACTTTTGTGTTAAAGTTCCTAATTCATGCTTGATAAATTTGGCCTGTGCATCTTGTTGACAGCGTGACAATGCGTCAGTGCTGTACAAATGCAAGGAAATGAACACGGGATGAAGCAGCCTGAAAAGAGCAGGATGAATGCATCACAGGCATGCTGTAGTTACCCATCACCCACCCAAACTGGTTTTGTTTGACAAAACAAAACAAAAAACCAGGAAATACTGCCAGGACATTTTGCTTCAGTTTAGGTTATTTGCTAGAATTGTTTGTGGTTAGGAATGAGCGCAAGGTTCACTTGTAATAATAATGTAACCATGGCAATATGTAACACAAGCTGATGTCAGTCTGATTGGCTGATAAGATTTATGTCCTAATATATAATCCAAGGCAATTAAGAAATGATTAGAAAATTAACATTAGAATAGATTAAAATAAAGTATTAGAGGTCTCGTGGCAGCTGTGGGTCTTAAGCACAGTCCCCAAGTGGTTGTTTCTGGATAATGTATCACCCTGCCCCAGACGTGCTGCATTACAGCAAGGAAAGCAATTGCCTTCATTTTACAAACAGGGAATTGTAATGTTCCTCTTAATTTCTGCAATTTCCTGCACTCATTTCAGTGTGGCCAGTCAGAAATTAACCTAGGAAAAACAACAGGTGGTATCTGCTCTCATTTCATCTAAAAGGAACTGAATGGTCAGGAGGGCTGGAGCATGAAAAGACAACTGCGTGCATCAGGATGTGGGCTTTGCTTGCTATCTCAGGCAATCAGCAGTGAGATGGGCAGCTGGAACTCTTGCCTCTTTGGTGCCTCAGTTTCTCTGTTGGCAAAATGCATGGAGATGGCAGCTCTAGCAAAACCCTGGAGCTGAATCTATGTGTGTTAGTCTCACTGCCCATCACGCAACTACTGCTTTCTTGGGACCACTGTTATACGACCAGTGGCAGCCATCTGCTGTTTCTCATCTCATAAGCTCTGTGGGGCAGAGCCGTTTCTTTATTTGCAGCATTGCTCCCACCTGGCAATATAATCGTTAAGAGGTGAGCCAGGATAATCAAAGAAGACAAGCATTTTCATAACCGCCTCTGCACCAGGCAGAATTACACCTCTCAACACATCCTAGCAACAGAGCTCTTCCTTCACATTCCCTCTTTTCTTTGCAAATAACTCACTGACTCCATCCGTGCAGCTTCCACGTGCAAGTTTAAGACAGACAGACTGGGAGGCCCTGGCACAGCTGCCCAGAGCTGTGGGTGCCCCATCCCTGCAGGTGCCCAAGGCCATGGATGGGGCCATGGGCAGCCTGAGCTGGTGAGGCACAACCCGACCTGTGGGAGGGAGTTGGAACTAGATGATCCCTTCCAACCCAAACCGTTCTGTGTTTCTACGTTTTTTCTTTGGGGATTTTCAGTTGATTAACCCAGTGAAGGCACAGCCACTGGACAGTGAAGTGTAAGAGTAAGTCCTTCAGGCGTTCGGTAGGCCAGGAGAGGAAATGCTTCCTGATTTGGAGACTTTTTTTCATAAGAGCTCTATTGTTTAGCCCTTACCAAGAGTTTTGGGATGTTTCGTTTGCTGAGATAGAGGCCTCCAAAGGTCAGCCAGTTGGAGCTCATCTGAGGACTTGGAACCTTCCTCTTGCTTCACGCTGTCTTTTCTCTGGAACAAATGACTGCAATGTAACTGGCAGGGGAGGAGCCAATTTTCCCAGTCTCCTTGTTCCTACTTTGACTACAGCAAATGCTTTACATGAGGATGATACCTAGCAAACACAACCTTTTGTCCAGCCTCTCCTCTCACTTCCCTCCTCTGGTTCCATTTTTCATCTATATTCCACTACCTGTCCTGCTGCTTACAGACTCTTTATGTAGAATCACAGGAACATACAATCATTAAGGTTGGAAAAGATCTCCAAGATCCCCATGCCCAACTTCAGCCCACCTCTCCCCCGCATCCCATGCCTGCTGCCCACGTCTCTCAGTGCCACATCTCCATGGTTCTGTAGCACCTCCAGGGTGGTGACCCCACCGCTCCCTGGGCAGCTGTGCCACTGCATTACCACTCTTTTGAGAAGAAATGTTTCCTAAAATCCAACCTGAACCTCCCCTGGAGCAAGTTGAGGCCGTTACTTCTCGTCTTAAAGCTGCTTTCTGCACAGTATTTCCCTAACCAAATTAGAGGGGCTGTATTTCATGCTCATTCTCTTTGGTCTTCCTGCTGCCTTCAAATTCTGTCTTCCTGGGTTCTCCCTCTGCTCTCCTCCATGACCCACACTCTGCTGAGCTTCACCCTTATTCTTGCACAGTCTTCTGTAACTCTTCCATCACTCCCAGTATCTTAGATCACATCTTTTCTTTCTAGTGTTCTCATCATTTTGACATTTCTTGCTGGCTGCTCATCATACACCTCTTGCACTGCTGTCCAGCCTTTTAAATCCTACTACTTCTCTGGCACTTTATTATTTCTCTGTCCATGTGTTGAAACCTGAGCATCTCTGCTACAGACTGCCCTTCCCTTCCTCTATGGTGCTCCCATCCAAGCGGTGAGTTTGGTTTAGTAGAATCATGCTGCATTCTGCTCTCCATGTGATGCGTGCAGCTGACAGGTTTGGCAGTCCTCGTGTTGCTTTTTCTTCCTGCAACTGATGCGCTGCGAAGGATGAACACAGAAATGTAAGCAGGGAGAACAGGAGACTGGCAGCATCCTGTCCTCTTCAGAGTGGCTTGGGAAGGAGGAATCGGACAGAAATCTGCAGTAAGTGGCAAAATAAATAAATGTGAGCATTAAGGCAGCAGCTAGCTAGTGTTGCATTTTATATTTGAAGTTATGTCTACCTTGCACAGTGCACAATAGCACAGAAAGAGCTGAAATAGCTCTGCATAAATATTGCATGAAGCCTTATGCACAAATGTATACGAAGCACAGAGCTACCTGCAAAATCTGGCTGAAGAGCATGAAGGAAAATGTGGACACTCTGTGGTTCCTTATCTGGAGAGCTGCTGGAACTGGCCTGGGGAGGTAACTGGCATTGCAACACAGCTTTCAGCATAAACATGTTCAGAGGGTGCTTTGTGCCAAGCGCCACACAGGAGATAAAGCCATGGAGCAGGCTTTTGGGTCAGAAGTGGTGCCCTATATGTTGTGGCGCTGGCACTGAGGCTGCTGTTTGTGGGCAGGGAGAAGTAGCATAAATAGAGGAGTGGAGGTGTTTTTGTTTCCAGTTTTATTCAGCAACCTCAGTCAACCTTTTGCCCTTGGGGTATCCCCTTGTCCTTTCAGTGGGTTCTCTCCAAGGCTGCAATTTCATGGTCTCTTGAATCCGGAGCGATACTGCTCCCCTGTTTCTGCTGCCACATGCAGCTCCACCTACATCAGCAGCAGAACAGGATCTACACATCGCTGTGCTGAGCACCTGCTGTCCATGCCAGGTGTATCTCAGAGGTGTTTCTTTGGGCTGGTTGTGTGCTGGAGTTGTTTTTAGCCTCAACCATCCTCCGCTCTGATGTGCGTGGCCTCAAACGTTTGGGAGGGACCAAGGGCTGGCTGTGGATGGCCTTTTTAGAAAGCAGTTTGCATTGGTTTGAAATGACTGTGAAATAACGATCTGGATTTACTGCAGGCTCTTTGTGACAAGGACCACCACCTACAGTGGATGAAGCAGGTGCCTCGCACCTCACAATGTACCCGTGTGCTGCAGACAGCATGGCAGCAGGAGGATAACCTCATCTGAGAGCTCTCAGAGCCAGCACACCACAGCCACAGCCTGAGCAGCCCAGGGTGAGCATTTCGCTATGCCCATAATGGCTGAGCCGCCCTATCGCAGACGAGCGTGCTTCCAAACAAACCCCACATTGTGAAGGGCTCCCTGAATGCTTCCTTCTCTCCCCTTCCATTCTCTACCCCTCAGAACAAGCCTGGAATTCAGTTTTTGTGCTATTTGCAGTGTAACATTTTCCTTTTTTTTATCTTCACTGTCTGCATTTTTCCCCCTCCCTCTTTCTACCGCCTGCCCATTGCAAATCTAATTGCACATCCCAGCCTGCAATTAGTTAATGTGCCCTCTGAAGTTCACTTCGTTATGGCTTTTCGGGCTGTGCAGCAAACACCTCTCCGCTGCTTTGATCCCTGTGCCCATGCTGCAGCCAGCACCAACAAGATACAATTCTGCCCTTTGTTTTTCAGCTGCAGTACCTTCTCCTCATCCTGCCACTCATTCAGGTGGGATATTGGCATCATAGAATTGTTTGAGTTGCAAAGGACCCGTACAGGACGTCTGGTCCCACTCCCTTGCAATGAACAGGGACACCCACAGCTCCATCAGGTATTCAGAGCCCATCCAGCCTGACCTTGAGTGTCTGCAGGTATGGGGCACCACCACCTCTCTGGGCAACCTGTGCCTCACTACTTTTCTTGCGAAAAACTTGCATCCAATCTAAACCTCCTCTTTTGGTTTGGAACCATTTCCCCTTGTCCCATCGCAACAGCCCCCACTGAAGATTCCTGTTTCAAACCCGTCGGGCTGCTGCTGGGGCGTGATCCAGAACTGGAGATTTTGGGAACACAGCGAGGACCTTTTGGAGGAGCAGATGGGCTCCGTCGCCTTCCAGCGGCTCACCGCGGGCAAGTCGGACCCCGACGGGGGCTCGGGCGGGGAGGCGGAGCGCTGCGGTCGCAGGAGGTGGAGGAGGACGAGGAAGCGGGCGTGGAGCCCGGGGAGCCCGAGGAGGGCGGAGCGGCGGTGGGCGGGCGCGGGGCGGCGGCAGCCGGGGAGGGAGCCGGGCGCCCCGCGGCCCATTCGCGAGCCGTAGCGGCGGCGGAGCGGAGCGGCGGAGCCGCGATGAAGCCGAGCCCGGCAGCGGCCGCCGCCGCGGCGGGACCGGGGTTGGGGCAGGCGGCGGGGGGACCCGATGCTCGCTGGAGAGAGAAAGGCGAAGCGGAGGCGGAGAGGCAGCGAACCCGCGAGCGGCTGGAGGCTACGCTGGCCGGGCTGGGCGAGCTGGAGTACCTGAGGCAGCGGCAGGAGCTGCTGGTGAAGAGCCTCCTGCTGCGGAGAGCCCCGGGAGCGCAGGGCGGCCGCGGGGAGCAGCAGGGCGAGGGGCCGCCGCCGCGCAGTCTGGAGGAGAAGTTCCTGGAGGAGAACATCCTCCTGCTGCGGCGGCAGCTGGTGAGCCGGGCACGGGGGGCTGGGGCGGGGAACGTCGCCGCGTCCCGCGGCACCGAGCCGGTCCGGGGGATGCTGCGGTGCTCCCCGGGGAGTGCGTGCCGGGCTCCGTTATCCCGCCGCCTGCCCGTCCCAGCCGTGCCCGCTGCCCGCAGCATCCCTCGGGGACGCGCCACGGCGACAAACGGGCGGAGGACGCCGGCACGGCACGGCACGGGAGAGCCGGCGTTCGAGCGGAGCACGGCGGCGGCCCCGGCTCTGGCGGAGGTTCCCTCCTCGCTTCGGTTTGGTTCCCTGAGCCGGGCTGGAGGCTGCCTGACCCGACTTCCATTCAAGGCAAGAGATGCGCTCCCGTTGCCTTGAATGGAAGTTAGAAGCGAGCTCCTGGGTTGGAACCCCGAGAGGAGGTAACGAGCGCTCTGGCACGGCCCGGATCGGGCGCCTTAAAAGAAGGGATGCTTTTGTTGGGAAGGCGCTTTGTCGCTTCTGTGGGAAGAGATGGAAGGCGGCAAGAAGCGGCAGATCATTTTTCAATGAAAATAGCGTACAGCTGTGCCTGGCCTTCTTTTGTGCACGGCTCAGCATTTGCTTTCACCGAGAAGCAGGACTGCGTGATTTATTTGCTTGTTTCCCCCCCTCCCTCGTTTTTTTTTTTTTTTTTTTTTTTTAAATTTTTATTTTATTATTATTATTATTATTTTTGCTTCTTTTGGCTTTGGCACATTCACTGTGCCATTTCAAGAATGGTTTCCCTCTACAAAATGCCAGTGAAACGATCTTGCTGCTTGCACAGTAATGGATGCCAAAGAGCCGTATTGAAGTAGTGGGGATTCACTGCCCCCACTTCCTTCCCCCCCCAAAAAAAGGGATCCTTGATAATGATCCATTCGTGCACTTGACATTGCAGACTGGGACCAACCACACTGCTGGCTGGGGATGCTGGTGGCAGTAGGTGGCGCAGAGTCACCACCCAAACCCTCTGCTCTGAAAGGTGGGCAAAGGTTGGCTCGTCCCTTTGGTTCTCCAAGGATGGTGTTCAATGCCAGCACAGCTTCAAATGGCCTCGTTAGTACTAGCAGCATTTGCTTTCCCTTTGCTTGAGGATTGGCCCAGCCTCGGGGAAAGGTTGTCCTTGATTTAATGGGTCTAGAGCATCAAAACTCTTTGCTCTGAACGTATCAGAGCACCGCTGGGCTCAGATCAAATGATGCACTTAGGAAAAAAAGAGAAACCTCCCTCCTGCTTCCCCCAAAGTCAGAGCAATTAAAGAGTATGAAGCAGAACAGGTGATGGATAAGCAACACTGTAATACACACAGGGAAACTGATTGCTTGACCGTGGGTTAATGACTGCCTCACAAAATCATTTCTTACTGCTTATTTTATGCCATCAAATTCCCTTCATAAATAGCCCTAAGTTCATCTCCCAGCAATTTTGTACAATTATAATGGGAGAAGAGGAAGAATGACCCTTCCTGTTGGCACTGCTAAACTAATAAAAGGGCTGCAGTCCCAGCTCTGGGAATCCTGCTGCCTATATGGTGGAACATGGCCTTACACTGCAGCAGAACGAGGCGGTTCCCTCACGACAGACACTTGTTGGCAGAGCTTTTCCATCCCATTGTGTGAACAGATGTGCGCTTTGACTGGATCACTGTGCTGGTGAACATCCCCTGTTACATTGGCAAGGCTGTGTTTTCACTGAAGGGACCCATTTTGTATGCACAGGTCTGGTTATACCATATCATACAGAACAGCTTTGTTGTTACAGCTGTGTTCTTGCAACAGAGTGCTTTGCCAGCACAGTGTATTGTGGGGCATGCTCCTTATGTAGAACTGGCTGGAAGAGGCTGGAGTGGAGTGCCTGCATAATTCTTCAGTTAAGTATTTATCCAGAGGGCCTATCTAGAATGTCAGGACTTTCTCCTGTTTTTATCATTATTTTTTAAAGAAAAAGGGATTCACATGGCCTTGAATGCAGAAGGCTGATTGTCCTTGGAACCCCTTCATGCTTGCCCCACTGAAGTAGCTGATGTTTGCCATCTTGTTTTCCAGAACTGCTTGAGGAGGAGGGATGCTGGCCTATTAAATCAGTTGCAAGAGCTAGATAAGCAAATTAGTGACCTCCGTCTGGACGTGGAAAAAACGACAGATGAACACCTTGAGACAGACAGTCGTCCAAGTTCAGGTGAGGCCAATGGTCAGCATGATGGAGCCTCCCATGGTACCTGGAATTAAGCTGCCTGCAGTTCTTAGTGTTGCCACCACGAATGTCTGTGACATGTTCACGCTCTGATAATTAGTGCCAACTGGGAAAGTTCACCTGCTGCTGGAAAGGCTGCTGTTTTTCGGCAGAGAAATGTTTCAGGCTGAATTAAGATTTTCGGTGTTTGGGTCAATTTTTTTCTCAAGGCCCCCCACAAAACTTCCATTCCTCCTGCATATTAGGAAGGAGGTTGCAGGGAAAGTGGCAAAAGGAAGCGCCAGTGGCAGAGGAAAGATGTCGGAGTTGATCTTATAACCAGGTGGAGTGCTGAGTCTAATAATTTAATCCCTGTTGTATTGAGTTTCATTCTGTTCTGACTGCATTGGAGCCAGTAAATGGTATTCAACTGTGGGGAGCCTTCCACAGAGGATCTAGGCTTGTTCTGACAGCATTGAGGAGTGGAGGACCTACCAAGCAATCACTTGCACTGTTAAAACCATTGCTTAGTTCTAATTTGAACTTGACTCGTTCCCATACTGATTTTTCAAATGCTTTTTCCCTGTAGACTAAGGTCTTTCTACTGCCAAGCCTTTTCTCCTCTTGGAGGTGCTATATATTTTAATTCCCAGGCTTTTTTGATGAGCTAAACAGGTCAGTTCATTAAGTCATTGGTTTCAAGGCATTTTTCCAAGCTCTTAAATAGTTTTATGGCTCCATTCCAGTTTTTTAGCTTTGTTTTAAGCTTGCTAGATTTGAGGACTAGGCACACTGTTCTAATGTCTTTCTTACCACTGCCATGTAGGCTGGTGAAGTCATTTCCCACCTGCTATTCATTAGTCTCTTTGTACATCCAACAATCTCGTTAGCCTTTTTTTTGGCCATACTATTAAGCTTGATTGAGCTACTTTTCCATGCTGACTAAGTCCTTTCCAGGAGTATCATTTTCCAGAATGCATCCTCATTCTGCAGACATGCCCAGAATTCCTTTTTCCTAAATGTACAATTTAAGTCTTGTTTATAGTGTGTTGCATTTTTCTAAAGTAGACCCGGTTTACCTGGAAGTTTTTCTGCCTGCACTCCTTTCTTGTCATCCTAAATACTACATGTTTGTCCAGAACTTGATGAAAATAATGGATAGCATTGGCCCCAACTCTTGGCAAAGATCTGCAGTCAAGTGATAGCTGGGGAGTTTGCGGTGGAAGGTAGAATGCACTGTTACATGAGTGGGCTGGCCAACACAGCCTTGAGCCTTCTTGCTAAAATCCATAATCCCCTGTTAAAGTTAAAACCTCAACCCCTATAAAAGCTTAAAAAAAATAGTTTAAGATTTCATATGTTGAGCAAAGTTGTGTTCTTTTAAGTGCTTTACTGTTAAACGGGATTCTTTGTAAGGATATTACTAAATTGTGCGCTGTTTTTTTGGACGACTGAATGAAATCCCCATACTAATTGCAAGAGTAAGCCAACATAAACATGAGCTGCACTGCTTTTTTAGGGGCACAAATGGTAACTTTATGTAGACATAACTAATATAAATGCAAACTCTTATTTTTGCAGGGTTTTATGAGCTGAGTGATGGAGCTTCTGGATCGCTCTCCAATTCGTCTAACTCTGTCTTCAGTGAGTGTTTATCCAGTTGCCATTCTAGCACTTGCTTTTGCAGCCCTTTGGAGGCAACACTGAATATCTCAGATGGACGCCCTAAATCTGCAGGTATAGTAAAAGCAGGTCGAATGCATCATACTCCAGGAGGTGGCTTTGGCTTTGGAAATACTGCCTCAGGAGTATCTGGGTTGGATTAACCCTTCTTCTTTCCATTTGACGTGCTGTGCTCTGAAAAGATTCCAGTGCCTATCATGTACATGTGTTGCAAAGAAGGACCGTTTCTTCTCCACTGCTCCATCTTTGCTTGTGAATCTGCCCCTCTAAGCACATGAAAATAACGTGTGAAAATATGGCAGCTGCTCTACCCAGCAGAGGGCAGTGGTACATATGCACAAAAACACATTAGTCGGCTAATTTCTCGTGATTTCTTTAAGAAAAGCATTTCTACTAAACAGCAATAATTAGAGGTACCTCTGCAGCCATGCGATATAGATGTACCATTGTCATTGCTGAAAGTGACTGAGTAGGGAGCTAGCTGCGGGTTGCAAGTCGTTCTATTTGCAGCAGTCTTTTGTTCAGTTCTGATGGTCCTCAACACCCAGGTGACTGAGCTTTGTTCTCCATTTATATATTAGAGACGAATAGACATCACAAACAGACTAAAAGTACTTTGTCTCTTTGGCACAGAGCTGTCGAATTTCCTTTGACATTAGGCTGAAGTTGCAATCTTTTAACATGTATGACAGTAAAATAGGAAGGCCACCTCTGTCTGTTGTCCAGGTAGGACACTTCAGTAGGACTTCTGCGATTGAGCATTACTGCTTGACATCACAGCCACACTCATTCAGAAGCCTTAGTCCAGTCTGGGTTGTGGAGGGTGCTCCTAACCATAGTATTTCCAATTTCCATTCTGCTCTTTAAGGTTAACTTGTAGTGAAATTTTGTGAATCGAGGATAAAATACTTCAAGCTCTTCTGACTCAGAAACGGGAAAATTCAGCCTGGGATACATTGATTCTGAGATGCTGAGAACTCCTCTAAGTTATCCTTTGAGCAGCTTGAGGTAATTTAATGTTCCCTGTTGAAAGGTATATCAGCCAAACATAAAAACATGCACAGGGCTTTTCAGCAGATTACTTTCCTTTTTTTTTTTTTTCTGTATGCAACACAAAAATCTAAAGCTCCCGTTAATCATGCTGTCTCATTTATAGGAATGAAATTTCTCAGTCTGGCACATTTCAAAGAAGTCTTTTTGGCAACATTTCCTGACTCTGACATAGAATTTAGGAAATGTGGGAAAACTGGGAGGTGATCTGGAGGAAGTTCCTGTTCTTGACTTCCCTTTCTCTCCTGCCCACACAGGAGCATCATCGTTATCAGCTAATTTCATCAAAGTATGTGAGACCTCTTTTGAAATAAACTTAAGATAAGGAGCAAGCACTGAGCTTTCAAATTTGAGCACTCTGGCTGAAGTTTCTAGCCCAAGGGTAGAAAACAGGACTGACAGTGATCTGCCAGGATCGTTTAGGTTGTCCCTCTAACCAAGAAGATCAAGCGAACTAGACCTTAATAAAATCATGATCTTAGGTGCTTGGATTGAAGCCTTGCTGCTAAGGTTGCTTATATCCGACGTAAGTGCCTTAGTTATTAAATCTGACTCATGCATCTTGAAAGGCACTGGATTTCTCTTAAAGAACTCTCTTTGCAGAGCCAAGGCCTGGGTACTGGTTGTATTGACCTGCACTCTTGTACTTATGTGGAAATATTAGCCTATTTCCCATTCTTTAATTCTTTATTGTTCAAAGTGAACTGACATTATTACAGTCATAAAACAGGTAGGATGCTCATGTTAATAATCTGGATTTTCTTTTATATTCCAAGATATACTTGGAAAAATATGGAAGTGAAGCTTGTCAATAAGCTAGAAGCAATTTATTGGTCTCTTGTCCATGTTTTCATGTTTCCCTTTGCATTTAACGGAGTAAAATATAAAACTCATGCATGCTGAGACCCACAGTGAGTTATACAAGTGACTGTGTAGCACAGAAACGTGGTGTTTAAGTGGCTTGGATGTAGAACAAGAAGCTCTCAGCATCCTGGACCCAAGAGGGCTCTGGGTTTTATTTTTTCAGTGAAGAAGTCGTGTTGGCACAAACCCTCCATAGATGCAGTTAGGAAGAAACCCTCAGACCCTTTTACAGCTGTTGAACAGCATCCCTGAGTGTGAGGTTTCTCCTATTTGAACAGCAGTGCTGTAGTGAAAGCGTTTGTATAGATGAGTCCGGTGCTCCTGACAGCATGTGAAAAGCAGCAGAACTGTCACTGGCAAGCTCTAAACTCTTCTAAATGCCTTTCAGATCTCATAGGCTGGATGGATTATAATAAAGAAAGCCAACATGAGGACCAGACCGCGGGCTCTGTGTGTCGCTCTTTGTCCACACCGCACTCAAATTCCCTCGATGTCGTTGCAGATGTCCACCCAAAGTACCAGTGCGATCTGGTGTCTAAAAACGGGAGTGACGTCTACCGGTACCCCAGCCCACTCCATGCGGTAGCTGTGCAGAGTCCTATGTTCCTTCTCCCTGTGACTGAGAACCCCCAGCGAGAAGAGGAGAGGCTTGGCTGTGACATTACCGATGTTTGCACCGGATCTGAAACAGACTCAGGAAAAGCAACCGATGCCTTTCTCCCGCCAGGCTCCTGGCCTGCCTCGTGCCCGTCTGCCAGCAAGAGGATAGATGGCTACATCTTAAGCCTGGTTCAGAGAAAGACTCACTCTGTAAGGACTAACAAACCAAGGACAAGTCTCAACGCCGATCCCACCAAAGGGATCTTGCGACACGGCAGCATGTGTGTCAGGCAGGCTGCCGGGGCGGTTTCACACAGCAACGTGGTGAACCTGAAGAGCGCGAAGCAAGTGAGCTTGCCATCCAGCGGGGCAACTGCTTCAGAGAACACGGCTCCCTCCCCGCTCAAGCAGAGGCCGAGGGAAGCAGGTGGTGAGCAGGTGGAGAGCAGAAAGGTGCTTTTGCCAGCGGCTTTTCCACCCAGCGAACTCCAGAGCAAGCAGCAGCCGCGGGGTGCCAAGGCGGTGCCTGCAGAGCTCAGCCGGCACGCGGTGGCTGCCACGGGGGATGTCTCCAAGGAAGGCAGCCAGCACTTCGCTGCGTCTCCCAAAGAGAGCCCAGGGAAGCCGGTGGTGCTGCAGCCAGAGACCAGGGTCAGCCAGCCGCCCAAAAAGGTCCTGCTGAAGGGCGGCTCGCAGGCAGCTCACTCGTCGTCGCCTCCTGTGGAGGAGAGGCCCACGCTGGACTTCAAAAGTGAGGGCTCTTCCTCTCAGAGCCTCGATGACGGATTGCTGGTGAACGCCCAGTACATCCCAGCCCAGCAGCAAAGCGTTAAGCTCCACAAAGGCACCAGGAACGTCAAGATTTTGAAAAGCTCTGCGCTGAAGCACAGGCCACACCTCGCCAACGGGCTTGAGAACGGTGCTCAGGCCTTGCGGGAGAAAGGCAAGCCAACCGGCAAGAAGTGCCGCTTTCCCGATGAGTTGGATACAAATAAGAAACTGAAAAAGCCCTCCTCAAGGGGGAAGCGCGGCGGCGGTCTGCAGCCAGAGTCAGGCCTCCAAGGGCGGCCAGCCAGTCTGCATAAATCTGTGGTCAGGTCTCACGGACACGGCCGGGAGGTGGTGGTGGCCAAACCAAAACATAAGCGGGCTGACTACCGCCGGTGGAAGTCTTCAGCGGAGATCTCCTACGAGGAGGCGCTGCGGAGGGCAAGGAGGAACCGACGGGACGGCGTAGGAGTCTACGCTCAAGTTCCTCTGCCGTATGTCAGCCCTTACGCCTATGTGGCCAGTGACTCGGAGTACTCGGCAGAGTGCGAGTCTCTGTTCCACTCCACAGTGGTGGACACGAGTGAGGATGAGCAGAGCAACTACACAACGAACTGCTTCGGAGACAGCGAGTCCAGCTTGAGCGAGGTGGAGTTCGTCGGGGAGAGCACCACCACCAGCGACTCTGATGAGAGCGGGGGTCTCATCTGGTCCCAGTTTGTCCAGACGCTCCCCATCCAGACCGTCACCGCTCCGGAGCTGCACGAAAATGCGGCAAAGGCCTTTGTCAAAATCAAAGCCTCCCATAACCTCAAGAAGAAAATCCTGCGCTTTCGGTCAGGCTCCCTGAAGCTCATGACGACCGTCTAGTGAAGTGACTTGGTGGAATGTATCTGTTTCTGCTTTTGGAAGCAAGGTGCTTTTGTGTACATATTACCACAGATTTTTTTTTTTTTTAATACAAATATTTAAAACTTAAGGTAAATTATGTCGCTTGTCTTCTGAACTTGGGTGGATACTAGTGCCTTTCAAATGGAAATAAAAGACCATTACACTTGTCTAAAAAACCATAACACTGCCATTTCAGTGGTGAACAGCCTCCAGTGCATAGTATCAGAAGGCTTGGAAAAAAAGGCTCATGTTTTGGGGAATGGATCATCCTTGCCTAGATTTTTCCAGTTCTGGGTCTTATACAGGGTATCAACAGCTTAAGGTCATAAATTTTTAGGGGAAAAGGGGGAGGGAGTGTGGGTGGTCTCAGTGTTTTTGCTTGTCCCTTTCTGCTGCTCCTGGTGCCACATCTTGAACTTGTTCCTCCTGACAGTCCAGCCTGTTCTGTTTCTTTTTCTCATTGATTCTCTTCTTGAAGCTGGCCCTGTCCTCCCCCAACCTTCTCCCGTGAGGAAAGGGCTCCTGGTAAATCCATCTCCAAGGTTAAGTTGCCTTCTCAGGAGCGCACTCTGCTCTGATTTCCTGGGAGTCCCGGTGCGGACTGTGGTGTTGTTTGGAATAAACTGTTGGAGCAGCTGACCAAGGCTTAGTAACTTCAGTATATTGTGTAAAACTGCTTTTGAAAAGAAAAACAAACCATATGCATGTCACGTGCATGATTATCAGTAGTTTTAATATTCCTGTTGATGTCCAATTTACTGTACATCATCAATGGCTGTTTTTATATATATATATCATTGTGTAAATTAATATAACACATCATATGCTGTAATAAACAGTCTGTTTTAATTTTTTTTTTAAGTTTGTTACATTGGGACAGACTCAATCTTACAATGGTTTTGTACTGGCGTTGTCACCACGTCAGTGTCTCTTTAATGTGGCCTGTTAACATTCCCTGGAATTCGGTCGTGCAGGAAATGGAGCAAGTTTAAAATGTTGCTGTGTGTGTGATTTGTGCTCTGAGAGAACTGGATAGCCATGGCTCTTCTTGTTCTTCCAGTGACTTGCATTTTTAAGGGCAGGATGGGACTGAGGACACTTCTGAAACCTACTGTAGGGAGCCCAGTTTATCAGGGTGTTGGACTGGATGATCCCAGGGGATCCTTCCAACTTCTGCAATTCTGCAGTTCTTCAGGGTGTTGCTTATGAGCAGCTTGCATTGTGGAGCAGATGGCAATGTAATATTAATCCTCCTTGCTTCAGGGTGCTTGAAGACCTTGGTTGGTACAACTGAAGGGTGAATGGTAGGGTGCTGTAACCAAATGGATCTGTGTAATGCAGCAGGTGTGCCTCTGAAGTGATCGGTAAATGGATTGCCCAAAGTTGTGGGCTCAGGGTGCTCTGCCTGGCCAAGGAGAGCGTGAGCTTGGTGAACCTGGTAGGAATTTTTCGGGTGTGTGTGCAGCCCGTTTGGTCCACAGCAACATCAGCAGAGAGGTACATTCTTCCATGGTTCCTCTGTGTCCTTCCTGCTGTCACCTGCTGTAAGGCAGAGCAGTACTTTGTCAGGTTTCCTTGTGTAGCAAATGTGGGAAGGAGACATTCACCAAGAATTAAATGTCTCTATGAACAGCTTCTGAGACAGTGGTAACAGTTTTTCTAAGTGGTGGATTTGATCTTAACTTGCAGGCTGCAGTGAATCCCCGCTGTTAGATGTCTCTGACAGTACATGCTTTCTGTTACTTTTTGTAAGGGGCCATGCAGTATGGTCACAAGTTTTTGAGTACAGGAACCTCAAAAGTCCTTTCATTTCCATCTTCCATGATACAGGAGAAGCTGTACCTCACCTTAGCTGGTCTTAACCCTCCTGTAGCTTTGCATGTGGAAGGGCAGCCTGCATACATACAGAAAACATAAAATGTTATATATACATTTTGTATATTAATATAGAATAGTTATTCCAGAAATTGTGGGACAATGACTGCCTCTACAGAGAGGGGAGAGGAGAAATGTTTGTTACTCAACACAGTTCTGCTGAAGCTGAGAGCAACTCAATATATTCTGTTAATAACAGATGGGTGTTATATCAAACAAAGGGAATGTCAAGAAGCTTATCAAACCTAGTGGTTTCTTTCCTAGAATATCTCTTAATCATGCCACATAATCTCTCTTCAAGCAAGAAAACCACGTGCAAATCCCTATAAATCTCCTCAAAGGTGCAGCAGAGAGGAGCTGCAGACATACACTCTGTGTCTGACTGTAAAGGAGATGCTGGTGGGAAGACAACCTGACCAGTGGCTTTGGAAAGGCAAGTTTTAATTGCAGTGCTGGAATGCATTTTCTCTTACTGGCTGAAGGAGGCTGGTTTTCAAAAGCAAGCTACTAAATAGTTTCTGTTTTGATAATTGAGTAAAAGAATAAGAAAATAAACACCTAAATATCACTAAGGTTGTATCAGCTGCAACCAGTGCATTCTGTAGCACTCTCATGGAATAACTTACTACCAGATGGGGAAATGTGCTGATGGTATCTCTTTCAATTGCATCTGACTCCTTTCAGTTTGCAGAAGGATTTTTCCTTTTCCTACATGATTTAGGTAAGCATCCCAAATCATTTAAACAGGCCTTGATTTTTTTTTACCTCTCACTTTCCTCTTTTTTTTTTTTTTTTTTTTTTTTGAATAAAAGATCTTACAGTGCTGGAAAAGTACTTGATATCCCAGCACATTCTCTTCTCTGGTTCCAATTTAGGAAACACTACCTCTGTTAGTAAGTTTTTGCAATGCTAGGTTGAAAAACATCTGCAAATCTTGGAGACCAGTTGAATATCTGGCACTTCTTTAAGCTACCTGGCTTTCCAGCTCCGCAGCCTTGAGCCCTTACCAATGCACTTTTTTTAATATTTGTGTTTTAATTATGCCCAGTGCTTATGGCAGTCTTTGGAAGTCAGAAGCTGTGAGGTTTGTCTTCAGCGCCCGGGGGCCTGTTTCAAGGGGAGGAATAATTGTAGTGAGGATGGTTGGGTTTGTACCCCTGTGCTTCATAAGCAGAGCAAACGCTTAGCAAGAGCAGACTCCTTTGTCTGGGTTCCTTGTGATTTAGGTTATATAGTGTTGCTGTACATCTCCCAGCTGTTCCCTGATGAGGTGCTTCAGACGGAGTCTTTCCAATCCATACAAGATATCTACTTTTTCTCCTGGCATGGGGTTCATCCTGGATAAAGACTGACAACGGATTCCCCACAACAGAGTCCTGCACCTTCCCTAACCCCAATCTGTCTGTTGGAAGGTCAGAGCTCTTCAGGTGGCAGCCAGCAAAGCCATCCCTGAGGAACCTGAATCCTTTTTTGCCACAGAGAGCAAGAAGGTTTTTATTAGCTGTGATGGCCACTCAGCAGATGATTCACCACACTGAGTTTGGCTCTCCTGCAGCATGTGATAAAGGCATTTTTAATAGCTGCATCAAGCATCTAGCCTGTATCTTTGGAGGCACCAACAATCACGCATACAAGTAAGCTGGTATGAGAAAATTGAACCATTCTCAACTCTTTGCAATGTAATACTTACACTGACAGTTCCTGTGCACAGTTCCAAGAGGATACAGAGACTGCAAACCAATAGAAACAATTTGTAAAGCCCAAATCTATCTTTCAAATCTGCTTTTCCCGTGATTTGCTCTAAACCTCCAAAGGGATTGTGTCGAGGCTCCTTGCACAGAATGGTGTTTTATTTCTCTGGCAAAATAGAACAGATAGATCAAACAATTGCTCTGGGACTTAAAAATCCCACAATGCTGGAATGAGGGGAGACATGGAAACAAGTGGGACATCGGTTAAAAGGGATAAAAGAAAGTGAGTGCTTTTTTTCTTCTTTTGCTCAGCAAGGAATTTGCTGCCACAGGCAATAGCGGCACAGATGTAATGTCAGCAAGTTCAAAGGAGATAGACGAGGTATTACAGACAAGGTATTATAGACAAGTAAGGAGGGAAGGATGTGTGCTCTACCATCCCCAGTAATGACCGTGAAAGCTGGGAGAGCCGTGGGGTGAATGGACTTCAGAGAGTGGCCAGGTTTGCATGCTCTCTCTGAAGACTGTTGCAAGTATTGAAGAACCATTAGGTGAGAAGACTGTGATCTTCGTTTAGCTTTTGGGAGTTGTCTGTGCAACAGATTTCCCCCAGTCTTCTTCATTCTTTTGTGCTCACAACTGTTGCTGAAAATGAGGTTTGTGTTGCTGTGTAAGGAAATTTACTTTGCACGCTTGGTTGATGGTGGCATATACTTCTTAAAACAGTGGACATGTGTTTCTGGTCACTCACGTCCTCTAGCAAAATAATTTAATTCCATGCTTTCACAAGCACAGTCCGTGCTGAAGTCCCGTATGAATTCCAATTCAAGCAGGACTGGTGGTCTGCATGAGGGTAGAAGGGCTCTTTAGAGGGCTCTGTATTGTTGGGTTGATAGCTGATTCCAATTGTGTGATGTGCAACAAGACGAAATATGGGTGCTGCACCAGGGTCACAGAATCTTCATGCGGTGATACAGGCTTGGGGAAGAGTGGCTGAAGAGCTGCCTGGCAGAAAGGGACTTGGGGTGCTGGTTGACAGCCAGATGAACATGAGCCAGCCCAGGTGGTCATGTCATCATGACCTGCATCTGCAGTATGGGTCAGCAGGGCTGTGGAAGGGACTGTCCTGTTGTACATGGCACTGGCACCTCGAATAATGTGTTCAGTTCTGAAGAGTATAAAAGAAGGGTATTGAGTTGCTCAAATGTGTGCAGAGAAGAGCAATGAAGATGGTGAAGGGACCAGAAAAAGGGTGTTACGAGGAGCAGCTGAGAGGACTGGGGCTACTCAGTCTGGAGAAGAGGAGGCTGAGGGGAGTGTTGGCTCCCTTGAACAGCTTCTGATCCAAAAATCTGGGTAAATTTGGTCCAAATAATATTGGGAACCATGCTAATTCTAGGCTGAAGTAAACACCAAAACTGTATATACTGTACCTGTGGGAACCTCAGTTTGGATCTGCTCTTTTTGTGTGGAATGACTTATTAATGTAAACAGAGCTTCTTTCTCAATTAATGGCCTTTGTTTCCATGCTGTATTCCTTTAAGATCAATAAAGTATATTAACATTAGTAAGTTGGTTTCAATGAGCCAAGCTCTGAAAATCTGTTTTTTGTTCTTTTTAAAGGAGTTGAAGTCCTGAGAACTAACATTTTCATGATAAACCCGAAGGAAAATGTATATGATTTGGACTCTGTCCTCATGATGTAATGGCTTTGCAAGCAAATTAAGTGTTTTCTCCCCCAAAAAGGTTCTTCTGGGGCCAAGGGCAGGGAGGTGGAAAGACTGCAAACCATTGAAATATATGTTCTCCATGTCCCTTGCACTCCGTGTGCCTTGTGTTTTAAGACATGGGCTTTTCTGGAGGGCAAGCTTGAGCTACTGGGAGGAGAAGGATATAATCAATCTTCATCTCTGAGGTGCTCATGCAGTAAGTGTTTAAGCATGTGATTAAGCTCATTCTTACTCAGTGAAGCATTTCAGCATGTGCTCTGTGTACTTCACAGTTAGGGGTGAACTTAGCGCACGCTCAGGAGCGCTGGTGGATCAAGGTCTCTAAACTCGAATTTGCAAGTGTTCCAATGAAACGTGTCTGTGTCAGATGTCCTGGTAACTTACCAGTCTGGTAGTGCTTTTACAGGAACAGATACACTTCTAATTTGTTTATTTGAGGTGACTGAGCTAAAACACGGAGAAATATGTAAGAGTGAATGTGCTTGTGGTCTATATTGATAGCAGGATTTTCTGCAAGTCCCGGAAGTGGGATTCAGGAAGAGGCAACCCTTTC